CAGGAGCTTACAGTCTAGAGGTATAATGAGACCCTGTCCCCAGGAGCTTACAGTCTAGAGGTATAATGAGACCCTGTCCCCAGGAGCTTACAGTCTAGAGGTATAATGAGACCCTGTCCCCAGGAGCTTACAGTCTAGAACTATAATGAGACCCTGTCCCCAGGAGCTTACAGTCTAGAGGTATAATGAGACCCTGTCCCCAGGAGCTTACAGTCTAGAACTATAATGAGACCCTGTCCCCAGGAGCTTACAGTCTAGGGGTATAATGAGACCCTGTCCCCAGGAGCTTACAGTCTAGGGGTATAATGAGACCCTGTCCTCAGGAGCTTACAGTCTAGGGGTATAATGAGACCCTGTCCCCAGGAGCTTACAGTCTAGAGGTATAATGAGACCATGTCCTCAGGAGCTTACAGTCTAGAGGTATAATGAGACCCTGTCCCAGGAGCTTACAGTCTAGGGGTATAATGAGACCCTGTCCCCAGGAGCTTATAGTCTAGAGGTATAATAAGACCCTGTCCTCAGGAGCTTACAGTCTAGGGGTATAATGAGACCCTGTCCCCAGGAGCTTACAGTTGAGGGGCACGATGAAACCAATGAGGGTGTATAGATACCATCAGAGGTGTAGCGCAGTACAATCACCCCTCATTAATCTCCCACGCATGTCTTCTTCCTCCCTGCAGGTTCTCCTGGCCGGTGCTGAGCTCTCGGGTTCTACATACTGATCGCCTCCGTCTTATGTTTCGTTCTCGACGGTCTCTCCCCGCCCGGCAACTTTGGAGACATCGCTGCACCACGAAGAGCCGGGGTCCGGGGGAAGGGGCACCCCCCAGCCCCGAGGACCTCCACCATGCCCTGCGGCCGGCCGCCCACCAACTTTTCAAAAAGCTGAAAGACGAACAGCTGTGGCAGCTGGCGGAAGCCGTGGAGAGCAAGGGACGCTGGGACTGCGGCTGTGTCTGGTTCCCACTTGAGGTGAGGTCGGGGAAGCAAGCCTTGGCGCCGTACGTCCTCCTGTGTAAGCTTTACCGCTGGCCAGACCTGCGCAGTGCCTCCGAGGTAAAGAGGCTCATCCAGTGCGAGAATTACTGGAGGAAGGACGGAGAGGGCACCTTCATCTGCTGCAACCCTTACCACTTCAGCCGACTGGTGATTCCAGGTACATGGTGGGAAAATGTTCCAGAGGTGACAACAAAGGGCCAAAAAATGATTTCGGACTCAATACAGAATAGGAAGTGTAAAAAAGGGTCCACCAGAAATAATTATAATCAGATGCCATCCATGGTGCACGTCTGCTACTAGAGAGACTCCGTCCCCAGGAGCTTACAGTCTAGGGGTATAATGAGACCCTGTCCCCAGGAGCTTACAGTCTAGAGGTATAATGAGACCCTGTCCCCATGAGCTTACTGTCTAGGAGTATAATGAGACCCTGGCCCCAGGAGCTTACAGTCTAGAGGTATAATGAGACCCTGTCCCCATGAGCTTACTGTCTAGGAGTATAATGAGACCCTGGCCCCAGGAGCTTACAGTCTAGAGGTATAATGAGACCCTGTCCCCATGAGCTTACTGTCTAGGAGTATAATGAGACCCTGGCCCCAGGAGCTTACAGTCTAGAGGTATAATGAGACCCTGTCCCCATGAGCTTACTGTCTAGGAGTATAATGAGACCCTGGCCCCAGGAGCTTACAGTCTAGAGGTATAATGAGACCCTGTCCCCATGAGCTTACTGTCTAGGAGTATAATGAGACCCTGGCCCCAGGAGCTTACAGTCTAGAGGTATAATGAGACCCTGTCCCCATGAGCTTACTGTCTAGGAGTATAATGAGACCCTGGCCCCAGGAGCTTACAGTCTAGAGGTATAATGAGACCCTGTCCCCATGAGCTTACTGTCTAGGAGTATAATGAGACCCTGGCCCCAGGAGCTTACAGTCTAGAGGTATAATGAGACCCTGTCCCCATGAGCTTACTGTCTAGGAGTATAATGAGACCCTGGCCCCAGGAGCTTACAGTCTAGAGGTATAATGAGACCCTGTCCCCATGAGCTTACTGTCTAGGAGTATAATGAGACCCTGGCCCCAGGAGCTTACAGTCTAGAGGTATAATGAGACCCTGTCCCCATGAGCTTACTGTCTAGGAGTATAATGAGACCCTGGCCCCAGGAGCTTACAGTCTAGAGGTATAATGAGACCCTGTCCCCATGAGCTTACTGTCTAGGAGTATAATGAGACCCTGGCCCCAGGAGCTTACAGTCTAGAGGTATAATGAGACCCTGTCCCCATGAGCTTACTGTCTAGGAGTATAATGAGACCCTGGCCCCAGGAGCTTACAGTCTAGAGGTATAATGAGACCCTGTCCCCATGAGCTTACTGTCTAGGAGTATAATGAGACCCTGGCCCCAGGAGCTTACAGTCTAGAGGTATAATGAGACCCTGTCCCCATGAGCTTACTGTCTAGGAGTATAATGAGACCCTGGCCCCAGGAGCTTACAGTCTAGAGGTATAATGAGACCCTGTCCCCATGAGCTTACTGTCTAGGAGTATAATGAGACCCTGGCCCCAGGAGCTTACAGTCTAGAGGTATAATGAGACCCTGTCCCCATGAGCTTACTGTCTAGGAGTATAATGAGACCCTGGCCCCAGGAGCTTACAGTCTAGAGGTATAATGAGACCCTGTCCCCATGAGCTTACTGTCTAGGAGTATAATGAGACCCTGGCCCCAGGAGCTTACAGTCTAGAGGTATAATGAGACCCTGTCCCCATGAGCTTACTGTCTAGGAGTATAATGAGACCCTGGCCCCAGGAGCTTACAGTCTAGAGGTATAATGAGACCCTGTCCCCATGAGCTTACTGTCTAGGAGTATAATGAGACCCTGGCCCCAGGAGCTTACAGTCTAGAGGTATAATGAGACCCTGTCCCCATGAGCTTACTGTCTAGGAGTATAATGAGACCCTGGCCCCAGGAGCTTACAGTCTAGAGGTATAATGAGACCCTGTCCCCATGAGCTTACTGTCTAGGAGTATAATGAGACCCTGGCCCCAGGAGCTTACAGTCTAGAGGTATAATGAGACCCTGTCCCCATGAGCTTACTGTCTAGGAGTATAATGAGACCCTGGCCCCAGGAGCTTACAGTCTAGAGGTATAATGAGACCCTGTCCCCATGAGCTTACTGTCTAGGAGTATAATGAGACCCTGGCCCCAGGAGCTTACAGTCTAGAGGTATAATGAGACCCTGTCCCCATGAGCTTACTGTCTAGGAGTATAATGAGACCCTGGCCCCAGGAGCTTACAGTCTAGAGGTATAATGAGACCCTGTCCCCATGAGCTTACTGTCTAGGAGTATAATGAGACCCTGGCCCCAGGAGCTTACAGTCTAGAGGTATAATGAGACCCTGTCCCCATGAGCTTACTGTCTAGGAGTATAATGAGACCCTGGCCCCAGGAGCTTACAGTCTAGAGGTATAATGAGACCCTGTCCCCATGAGCTTACTGTCTAGGAGTATAATGAGACCCTGGCCCCAGGAGCTTACAGTCTAGAGGTATAATGAGACCCTGTCCCCATGAGCTTACTGTCTAGGAGTATAATGAGACCCTGGCCCCAGGAGCTTACAGTCTAGAGGTATAATGAGACCCTGTCCCCATGAGCTTACTGTCTAGGAGTATAATGAGACCCTGGCCCCAGGAGCTTACAGTCTAGAGGTATAATGAGACCCTGTCCCCATGAGCTTACTGTCTAGGAGTATAATGAGACCCTGGCCCCAGGAGCTTACAGTCTAGAGGTATAATGAGACCCTGTCCCCATGAGCTTACTGTCTAGGAGTATAATGAGACCCTGGCCCCAGGAGCTTACAGTCTAGAGGTATAATGAGACCCTGTCCCCATGAGCTTACTGTCTAGGAGTATAATGAAACCCTGTCCCCAGGAGCTTACAGTTTAGGGGTATAATGAGACCCTGTCCCCATGAGCTTACAGTCTAGAGGTATAATGAGACCCTGTCCTCAGGAGCTTACAGTCTAGAGGTATAATGAGACCCTGTCCCCATGAGCTTACAGTCTAGGAGTATAATGAGACCCTGTCCCCAGGAGCTTACAGTCTAGGGGTATAATGAGACCCTGTCCCCAGGAGCTTACAGTCTAGAGGTATAATTAGACTCTGTCCACTGGAGCTCATTATACAGTCCTACACATGTCCCACAATGGCCTTGAATGAGGTCTGTGCTTTTGGGTCCCCTCCTTTTTAGAATGTTCTGGTGGGAGGGACACATTTTGGACAAATCCCAGAAAGACACATACGCAGACACAGTGGTGTATTTTGGTTTTGTGCTGCCCTAGGCAAGACTAAACTCGGGCACCCCCTCAATCTAAATTTGCCCTAACCCACCCTGTTCAGGACATGTAGGGTCTCAGGAGAACTGTGCAGACTCCCTTTCCCTGCATAGATGTTCTGCTCCTCTTACCTGCAACTCGAAGTGCCATCAGTACCAACAGGATACATTGCAGTCCCCAGCCTGCTTCTGGGACATCCCACCATCAGATCACATGCGATGACCAGCCCTGAACCACTCGCTTCTTCTCCTTCACCTCCTGTACAAAGCCTGCCGGACCGCAACTCACTGGGCCCTCCCCTCCTCTGGGCAGCTTTTTACATAGGCAGCTACTCTTAGGGCCTGGCGGTTGCCCAGTTTGCCTCATTAGGCAGCCGCCGCTGCCTGATTCTGTGCCGCCAAGCCTCGGCAAGTGCCCAGTATGCACAAAGGCAAGTCCAGACCTGTCCACCTTATTGGTTTGGGGCAGCATTTCCTGCCGCCCCCTTGGAAAGTGCCGCCCTAGGCACATGCCTAGTTTGCCTTGCGGTAGATACACCCCTGCACAGACACCAATATATTTCACGGCTACCATCTAAAAAATATTAAACCGTTTATTCACCATTTTCTTTGTTTACAGAACCGATTGCTCCATTGTCCTACAAGGCAAGAGATACTGTTCAGCCTGCACTGTCCAAGCCGCTTCACTCCATCACCAACCAGGAGAGCACATACTGCAATGTCCGCGGTATACATGGTGAGTGTCTGTCCCACCTAAAATCCAATAGTATAATGAGACCCTGTCCCCAGGAGCTTACAGTCTAGAG